AAGAACGTGAACTATTAGACTTCGATATATATGATCTAGAATTCGAAACAGGTAGTGATTTAGAGTCATTAGAATCAAAAGATGAGTAAAAATAGTTCATTCATAATAGTTAAATTATTCAACAAAACTCTATTAGCATATGTAGACACATGTTCAACAATATGTTTAGCACAAGAATCTATATTACCAAGAAAATATTGGAAAAAATTAGACAAACCAATTATATTGAGAATTACAAATAATAAGACAATGAGCATTGGATAACCCGAAAGGCATCACCATCCACTCAAAGAGCCCCTCGCGTATCTTGAACGCCGTCTTCCACTCGTCACCTGGCCAGATCCTAATCTGATGATACCCGCTCCAAAGATCCAGCTTCGTGAAAATAGTGGCACCATGTAGCTGATCCAAGAGGTCATCCAACCGAGGTATGGGAAAGCGGTACCGGACAGTGATCTTGTTGATGGCGCGAATGTCAACACACATACGCCACGAAGTGTCTTTCTTCGGTATCAAAAGTGCTGGCACAGCACACAGGCTCAAGCTGCACCGTACAACCCCACACTGAAGGAGCTCCTCCACCTGACGTCGCAACTCCTCATGTTCTGATGGACTCATCCGGTAGTGAGGTCTATTCGGCAAAGACGCCCCAGGCACCAAGTGGATGTGATGCTGAATGTCACGAAGTGGTGGTAAGCCCGAAGGAATGTCCTCGGGAAACACATCGGCAAACTCAGACAAAAGCGGCCTGATCACCGAAGGGAGTGGCCGCTCGCCACTCTAGTCCACTCCAACAAATAAGAAACACCAAGGTGGTGCCCGGAGTTCAGCAAGAAAAGTCGCATGTGAAAGAATAAGTACTAGTGACGTGGTACTCGAAGTCGGTGCGCACTCGTGCCCGGCGAATGGTGTCGGACCCATGGTAGTAACTCCCGTCTTTTCCCTCGGTCGAACACGAAGGTTGAATGCCTCACTCCCATGGTATCACCCCCTGGAAATTCATGGAAACACATATATGCAGCAGTCACACACATAATTTTGAAGTCACCGTGGGAACCAACAGACAACATCTGTTTGCAAGGTCGCAACAAATTCACGTAGGAGAAAAGCTCGGGCCTGCGCAATAGAATAACTACCAATCGAACACCAAATTCTTCCAACAGCTGAATTTTGATGCCCGAAACATGATTGAATTCCTCCAGGCCCGAAGGCTCCTTATCAAAAATCGGAGGACCGTCGTAGAGACTGTCCACTTCACCGGTAAGACGCTCCTTCACCTCCTCGGCTTCTTCATCAAACACTGGTGGAACATTGTATAATGGCCCGTCAACTTGCTCTTCGTCGAATTCTGGGATGTCAACGCGAAACGGGCCCTCCCATTGACCATATTCGCGATCAAGTCCCCAATCGTGTCTGGCACGATATCCGCTAGCGAAAACTGTCTCCTCGCGCCAGTCCCTATCGCTGCGTTGATCGTCGCCATCCATTAAGACCGGGCCCCGTCGCCACATGTCACGGCCGCCGTATACAGCGAAGGGGTCAGCCTCGACGTGCAGAGGTTGCCACTCGCCGAAGGGATTCACCTCCGAGATGGTATCCTCGTCGTCTTCATCGTCGGACGGTGGTTGTGGAGATCTCTAGCGGGGCGCCCCGCCTGGACCACGGCCTCCACGTCCTCCGTGAACTCCTCCGTGCACGCCCCGGTTGCCGACGTCACAGTTCGTTGGCAAATCCTCAACAAAGTTGTTGATCATAAGATGCACTTCTTTGATCCCCATCGAAAGATCTTCAACCCGACGTTCCAATTGATTGATCTGGCGGCCGAAGCCCATGGCTCGTCAACCCAGATACTCAATGGTGGCGTCAAGCCCGTCGATGTCGTCCTTCCACGGCGGCATCTTGAATCGTGCTGACTTCTGATACCAACTGATGTAGAGCGTAGTACGAATTGGTAAGAATATGAGATACTCTCTCGTGAAATAGAACGATCAGTTTTTCAATTCATCAAAATCTATCCTTTCTTTCGTCCAATACAGCATAAATAATAAAGGAGAAACCTATACTTGCCAAAACATTTGCAAGCTAATTATTATCCTACCATAATTATTAAAATTGCTAAAGGAAATAAACTAGAAAAGCAATAATAATAATAAGAGATAAAATAGATTAAACCCGGAGCCGGTCGTATTTATTCAAAAATGCAATGGTTGTCTCGTATTATTATTATTATTATTATTATTATTATTATTATTATTATTATTATTATTATTATTATTATTATTATTATTATTATTATTATTATTATTATTTAATGGCTTGGTGGACGAGTTAATGTTTAGGGTTAGGGGCCTTATATAAAGGACTTCCTCTAGTTTATTTTCCTTGGTTGTTTATGAATAAAAGATGAATTGATATTGTGAGTTTTGCGTACTTTACGAGGGAGTATCTCGTTTACTCGTTTTATCCTTCCCATTCGTACGCCTTTCCTACATCACAAGGTGTGCCAGGGCACACCTAATTATTTGCGTATTGGCACAACCCATAACCTCCAACATCCAATGAAAAAATACCAAGTGTCATTTTATATTTTTTTAAGATATATGAGTTGCTATGAACAAACCCTTTTTTACACTATTACCACATAGATAAATTCTGATTAAAAATACTATTAAAAATAACTTTAGACATATAATTCATAAAAAGTATAAATAAATAAATAAATAAAATAAATTTATTAATATAAATTTATTAAAAAAATCATGAGTAAACCACCAAGAGTCTCAGAACAAATAGGAATACTTGCAGAAATAACAAAAAAAAAACTCAATTAGAAACATCAGAAATATTAGAAGAAATAAAATAATCAATAGAAGAATTACGATATTTTGTACAAAATGAAAAAACACGGAAAAGATTATTTAAATCAATCCAAATAGAACCGCCAACAAGTTCTAATGGATGACATGGATAGATTAACCCAGTTATTAGAAAAATGTAATATTGAAGAAACTAGAATGACAAAAATAGATGATGAAGATAAAAAAGGAATAATCTATTGAATTGACAATGAAGATGAAGATGAACCCACATTTAATTTGATAGATCAAAGACCTCATATAACACCACCATTATCCCCAAAATGATCCAGAACAAATAATAATAAAGCATCTAGTTCACATAATAGTTACGTAGAAAGTAGTTTTAGAGATTTTATATACATAAATTGATTATAGTTATCATCATGAAAAAAATGAAAAAAGCATATACCACCAGCATATCTAGAAAAAGAAAGAAATCTATCCAATGGAATATTAAATATAGATTGTGCAACCAATGCAGAAGATTTAATAGTCACTTGGACTAATCAATTAAAATTACTATTTGAAACTAATGATTCAATGATAAATGAAATGACATTAACAGATTTTCTTAATTATATAAGATATAAAACATCTGAAGTATTATTTGACTATCTAGAAAATACTCGAATTTTATTAAATTTTGAAGCAACTGATTTAGAAACATGAGCAAAATATAAAATAACAGCATTAAAAGAATTAGCAAAAGATCTATTAAGAAATTTTTTAGGAATTACAGGACAAGAGTCAAAGGAAACACAAAAAGATAAGGTAGTTAGATTTCTAACAAACTTGAAGTTATGCAATGTATGCTACATAGAAATTTTTTTTGTCAAGTGAGAGAAAATTTCTATAAAATTAAGGATCGGTAGGACTAATAGAATTAGTTGAAAGTAAACTTAAACATGAAGTGAATAAATAAATTCAGAAGAAAATCAGTGAAACAAGAGAAGGAAAAACTCTAGGAATGTTAGAAAAATATGCGAAAGAATATATAGATGAACTTTGTATAAGAAAATTAGAACATCATGAAATGACTAAATTCGATTCAAGATGTTGTAAACAATTAGAAAGTGTACCACAAGAATTTGGTTGTTATGAACCATATTGAACGAAAAGATAATATAAATACAATAAGTTTAATAGACGATATAGACCAAGAAGCTATAAGGCATTTAGAAAACCGTGGAAACCAAAATATAAAGAAAAGTTTAGAAAACAAGAAAAATAATTAGGAAACCCAAATATTGTCCTAAAGGAAGAAAGAATTGCATGTGATAGAAATGTCAAGAAATAAGATACTGCAAATGAATGTCCTAAACACATGTCAGAAAAAAAAGAAGTTAAAAATAATATTTTCTCTAAGCTATGAACTTATAGAAGAAGAATACGAAGAACGTGAACTATATTAGACTTCGATATATATGATCTAGAATTCGAAACAGGTAGTGATTTAGAGTCATTAGAATCATAAGATGAGTAAAAATAGTTCATTCATAAAAGTTAAATTATTCAACAAAACTCTATTAGCATATGTAGACACATGTTCAACAATATGTTTAGCACAAGAATCTATATTACCAAGAAAATATTAAAAATAATTAGACAAACCAATTGTAGTGAGAATTGCAAATAATAAGACAATGAGTATTGATTATAGAGCAACAGATTTATTATTGTTAATAATTGGAAAAATTAGACAGACCAATTATAGTGACAATTACCAAGTCTTTATAAACAAAATACAGTTTTAGCATTAATAATTGGAAATAACTTTCTTAAGTTATACAGTCCATTTATTCAAAGACTAAATAGTATAAGTCTTAGATGTCAGCAACTAGATACACGGTCTAGTAAAATAATTACTACAAAAATATATAATACGTCTTCTTTCATAGGGGGGAAAATATTAAGAAAAGTATCTTTTCAAATCTATAAAGTAATAAGTATAACATTAGAAGAAAAATCAGTTATTAGAAAAAATATGTAGTTAAAATCCATTAGATCCAAATAAAAACACGAATAAAATGATAGTAAAAATAGGACTAATAGATCCTAATAAAGAAGTCAATGTTCTAAATAGAATACCATATACAGAAAAAGATGTTTTGGAATTTCAAGAAAAACTACTACGATGTTAGAAAAAAGGGTATTATACAACCTAGTACATGGTGCAGAATAATAAGTATGATTATTATTACTATTATTATTCTCATGATTAGTAGTAGTAGTATATTTATTATAGTATTTTATTATTATTTCCTTATTTCTAGTTGGTAGGAGAAATTTATTTATTTGGAATTTTTTTGTTTACCAAGTTAGGGTTTTAGTTTTGAGAGCCTTATATAAAGGACTCTCCTGGTTTATTTTTACTTGGTGAATTTTGAGAATAAATCTGATATTGTGAGTTCTGTGTGCTTTACGAGAGAGTATCTCGTTTATCCTTCCCATTCGTACGCTTCCCTACATCAGTTGGTATAAGAAGTCAGCACGATTCAAGATGTCGTCGCGGAAGGACGACATCAATGGGCGTGACACCACTAATGAGTATGCGGGTCGACAAGCCACAATCTTCGGCTGCCAGATCAATCAATTAAATTATTGGGTTAAGGATCTTTCAACGGGGATCGAAGAAGTGCGTCTTACGATCAACAACGTGGTTAAGGATTTGCAGACGAACCGTGACACCGGCAACCGGGGCGTGCGCGGGGGAATTCGCAGAGGATGTGAAGACCGTGGTCCAGGCGGGGCGCCATACCAGAGATCTCCACAACCACCATCCGGCGAAGAAGTCGGTGAGAATATCATCTCGGAGGTGAATCCCTTCGGCGAGTGGCAATCTCCACACGT